TTTTTGACGTAAATACGTCTATAAGGAAGGGTCATTCGGCAAAAATGTGTTACGAAAAAGTGTAACTTTATTGTTATGTTACCAAGGAAATGTCGTGTTTACTCTGCATTGTTGTTACCTAGGAAACGTCACCTGTTTACTCGGAATTGTTGTTACCTATAAAACATTTCATTACATTACATTCAGCTACCACAGACCCATCTTAAGCGTAACTAATTCAAGTTAAATAAGCAAAGTCTTAATCAAACTTTACTCAATTGTAAAGCATGTATAAAGGAAATATTTAGAATAAAGCCAATATATAAACTTCCTTTCCGTATAGACGTATTTACGTCAAATTCTCCGGAACCGTTGTTCCACTGACAACTTTTTGAAACGCATAAAAATTTAGCTCCAGACACACGAGTCCCTCGGACTCCACAAGTTTCTTGTATGTTGCTTGTTGAGATTCCATGAATCTGTGCGTTGTGCAGAAAACATCTGAGTGTTTCTTCTTTTTTGTTTCCCTGTGGTAAATTAAATTGGCAGAGGCGGAGTTTTGTCTGCTGCAATATTCAAAGACTGGAATGAATTTAAGGGGCCTTTTCTTCATGCTCATTTCATCATTATATCGCGCTGTATATACAAGTTGGAAAATAACTCAAATTTGTTGTCAGAAACAGTGAAGGAAATTAATGACATTACAAATAAAGATAGTATAATTGCGTCATATTGTGAATCAAATGTTAAATTAATTATTCGGTTTTGTCCGTCTAATCACAATTATATTTAAAAATTTAAAATTTACAAATAAGATAATTAAAATATCATTTTATGATATAATTTTACACCTGAAGATGGTTCGATGAAACAGAAACATGTTGTAAAAATGTTCCAAAATGTAAATCGATTATTCGATGTGGAACATAAAATGATATTTTAATTATCTTATTTGTAAATTTTAAATTTTAAATATAATTATGATTAGACGGACAAAACCGAATAATTAATTTAATTACAAATAAAGTGAACAAAATCAATTATTCTAAAGCCGGTGGAATAAATCAAAAGTTAATGGTTTAAATTTACGTGCATTAGAAATAGGAGGGGGGAGACCTGATTAATTCTGAAGACAGGAAATTCTCGAGTGTCAGTTACGTAGTTTGTTGAAAGTCATCACATGATGTTGAATTAAGAGTCCGTCAATATAGTTAAGTTTTCCGTGATAACAGGCAGGGACTTATGATTTAAAACTTCAATTTGACTTTTGTGTTTCAGCGAAGGTGTAATGTACTTTCTTTCTGAGACACTGGCGGATTTTGGAATGTTCTTCGTGTAATCACAGAAATAAATATATTAAATTTATTACTCGGATATCTATTCCCCAGTTATATTATCACCTTCGTTAAATAATTCTTTTAATTTTTAGTTTAATAAGCCTAAGATGGTAAAGTTGCGTCATATTGTGATATAATAAGTATATATTAAATCTTGTCCGTCTAATCACAATAAATTCTTATTAAATATTAAAATATTACAATAATTAACATTTAAAATATTTAAAATATTAAATGATGTTCTTTATCGAAATATTCGATTTACATTAGACCATCATTTTTCATGTTTCAGTTCCTAAAAGAACCATCCTCAGGTGTATATAATTATATAAAGCTTCAAAACGATAAATAATTTCAAATACAGCCTGTTTAATCTCTTAATATATGTTAAATTCACTAAATAGTAGCATAACTGTAACATATGGAAAAATTCTTTATATGTAAAGTAAATACTTGATGTAGATTCTTCCGAGTGCAAGAGACTTGTAGCTTCCTCACGTTGACAGGGGAAATTGTCATTTTTGTGACGTAATTATCCTTTGTTCGTCAGGTACATAACGTTTCGAAATTTCGACTAGGGCAAGCAACCTAGACGCAGGATTTGGTTCTCCTCAGTACCTCCAGAATAGCTGCCTTTGTCTCTGCAGTATCACTTCGGTCCGCGAACCGAGCATGCCGTTGTTAAATTATCAAATAATCAATCTTCATCACGTTTTAGAAACACCTGGTTTGTACCCCTCGCGTTCTCACAGTGTTGACGGCATGGAATATTTAAGCCCAGTCTCGTAACAATGAAATGGCTTCCAAAAATAAACAGTAGGAAATCATTTCATCCAGTCCCAGTGACGGAATGTAAACAATAAAAACTTTTAAACATTTAATTTTTTTTTAATTCGGTTTACGTGCTTTTACGTCCTAGAATGAAATTTAAAATCTAAGCGAATTTTAGCTTCACGAGATGGATTTTGATGCTTGAGACGGCATGTTCATGTGACGTCATTTCGTTTTGGTTATTAAGGAGGACTGCACTAATAGTTTTAAATGAAAGTCAGATCGCCCTAGTGGGACTTAACCCTATCCTCGGAACCAATTTCGTCAGACGTTATTTCAATTTAGTGCGTGATTAAACCACTATATCTAGAATGCTACTGAAGCCGATTGTGTGGCCATGAGCTGAGAGACATCTGTGGTTCGAATCCTGCGATGTATTTTACGTAGGAGACCCTGATGTTAATCGAGCTGACGGAACATAGACGTTTAGCGAGAACTTTACAGCATAAATATGTCACTGAAGATGAATATATTCTGTGTTGTTGCTTATGCGTTATGTTTAGTTAAGTTAGGTTAGGTTAGGTTAGGTTGAGTTAGGTTAGGGGTTAGGTTGGGTAAGGTTAAGTTAGGTTAGGTTAGGTTGGGTAAGGTTAGGTTAGATTAGGTTAGGTTGGGTAAGGTTAAGTTAGGTTAGGTTAGGTTGGGTAAGGTTAGGTTAGATTAGGTTAGGTTGGGTAAGGTTAAGTTAGGTTAGGTTAGGTTGGGTAAGGTTAGGTTAGATTAGGTTAGGTTGGGTAAGGTTAAGTTAGGTTAGGTTAGGTTGGGTAAGGTTAGGTTAGATTAGGTTAGGTTGGGTAAGGTTAAGTTAGGTTAGGTTAGGTTGGGTAAGGTTAGGTTAGATTAGGTTAGGTTGGGTAAGGTTAAGTTAGGTTAGGTTAGGTTGGGTAAGGTTAGGTTAGATTAGGTTAGGTTGGGTAAGGTTAAGTTAGGTTAGGTTAGGTTGTTTTACGATGGGTTGGGTTGTCCTGGAGAATTTCTATCGTGTTCTTCGGGTGGTTGTGGGGATGTCCTGGTGAATTCTAGGAAAATTCCTGGAAAAGTCCTAGAGTAGTGTCGGAGAAGTCCTGGATACGTCAGCGTCACCTCAAGTTACGACAAGATCAGACCGACGTTTCGGGAATATAGGTCTTTAAATTTTTAGGCTAACATCATGAACATTTTTTGTCATGCTTATTTCTACCTAACTGTATTAATCTGAATGACGATAACTCATGCAAGTAATCTTCTCGTTGTTCTAAATAAGTACCTTTTGCACTTTGTTTGGAGACAACTGACGGACTGGGGCGACGTGGCCTTGTATATTCGCAGCGATATTGTGTCTTTATTAATCCAAGCGAATTGTGGTGGATTGCAACGATCCATAAATATTTTAATATTGTTGTGTGAATTTTCTGTCGTCTTGTATTTTCAGGAAAGTGAAAATCACTAACGCAGGCCTAACATAAATAATTTTTTTTTAAAACAGAACTTAAGAATTTTAGTCTTATCCATTACAGCACGAAACACAATGTTCATATAATTTACTATCTGGTATGATTGGACAAATTCGACACGAAATGGAAAATTACTTTTTCTTCGAATCCTCCACTTTTTCAGTTATCAATGACCCATTTTCCCATTAGAATCTATTATAAATCCGCTCAAAGTTGCATGAATTATAAATGAGAGCATGATTATTAACGGAGATTACATTTCCATCTTTTATTTTCAAGTTCTCTTCAGAGGATTAATAGGGGGCAAGAGATCAGGAAGTTCGGAGGGGGGGACAACAGATAAGGGGGTCGAACAAAAGAATCTGCCAAGCAACCCCCCCCCCCCCCGTCTCAGCGAGCGAAGAGATTGAACTAATGGGACAGCTTTCTGAAATGCTGATGAAATGTATTTTATGGATCTGATCCAGATTCATTACGTAATCAGTTGATGTTCATACTTTAAGCTTTACGTGCTCCTTGTGACAACTGCAGTGCCGGAACCTATATAAATATATATTTCCCTGTCACTTAAAATTTTTTCCCGCCTTGTGAAACGTATTTCGATCAAATACTTAAGATCGATATTTTAAGCTATAGCTAATGGCCAAATATCGATTTTTCTCGATAGCTCAAATTGAGTACAGTCTGTATCTCATTTAAATGTATACCGAATTAGTATTTTAATATTTTGTCACGTATTGTTGAGATCCATTTCGATAAAGGGTTCAGAGCACAGGGAATTCCATTGCAATGCTGATGTAGTACCTTGGGTTAGACCACAACAGCTTCCTTCCATATCTCTTCTGATTCATTAATCATTCTGCTGTCCTACGCTATAGGTTATATAGTTACTGACAACTTTGCTATAGAAAATTAAAAAAAATGTATTGGGGTCTATTACGCTTTGAACCGCAAGTACATGTCTCCTATTGATCATTTTTTTATTATTCATAAATACGAAACAGTTCCTTTAAATCATTAAAATCGTAAGTAATTAAATTATTCCTTATCCATGTCCACATTATTTTATTCTTAGTGTAGGTTTTATATTTATAATTGTTTTCCTAACACGTTCTTCAATGTGCGTGCTACATTTCCTGTCAATATCAACCCATTGTTTTGATCATCCTTGTAATATTTTTCAGATATTACAAGTTAACTCGTTAACTTTTCCGTCACTCACCTTATGGTACAGGAATAATCCTATGTCTAATCAAATAAAATTACAGGAAACCATATTTTGTTTCAGTTCATTATGGTATCCCACCCACAAGTTTTGATAAGAATTCTGTAAAATAATATTCGAAAGCAGAATAGGGAAGTACTGCGGGAAATTTCGTTGCACATGCAGGACTTTACGTCTGTAAGGTTGGCTACGCAAGGGAGTGAGTAGGCCGTTCAATGTTGCGAAAGTGTTTACGCTTGTTGATTGTCCTGTTCAGTGTGTTTGTAATTGGAATTTAAGAACGCATTTTGTGTTATTTATGCGTTGTATTTGAATTGTAGCTGCGAGAGTTGCCAGAATTATTTATTTCTTTGGACAACCCGTTTTAGGTAGGTTATCTGTGGTTATGGTTAAGCGCTGAGGTAGGATTTTTCCCATTTTTTTCGTATTTCGTGTGCATCATCTCAATATATTAAGGGCTTATCGAATAATTAAACGGAAATTTTGCCCATTTTCTTCCACCATTTCGTCCTGATACTATACTTTAATGTTGGCATTGTTTATTTTCAGTATGTCTGAAACAGTTGATTACGTTAAAAGTTTGTCCGATGATGAGTTGTACAACGAGCTTAGGGAGCGTGGATTTCCAGCAGGGCCTGTTGTTGGTAAGTGCATATATAGTATTGCTAATGACATGCAAACAACACACAACCAGGCTGTAGCAATGTAGATACAACTCTTCAATACCTGGTACAGTATTTGTTTTTCACATGTAGAGCTGTGAGGATTTTATGACAAAATCTAATATTTTCGTTAATTTAGTTTCATCAATCGTCGAATGGGCCCCAAGATATATGCCCACAGATAAACTGTAGTTTGATACAAGTATTCTATTAAACTTTTGTTTTATATATTACTTAATGTTGGCATTGTGTGGCGATTGGATTTTGCTGGCCCAGGACAGGGTCCGGTGGAGGGTTTTGGTTAATTCGGTGATGAACCTTTGGGTTCCCTAAGCCATCTAGTTAGTTAGTTGACATTGTGTATGTTGCAGGCTGCTATAATTTAGTAATTAAGAATTCTATTCATTGTACCATGACTTTTTTATGTATCCTGTGTGTAGTGGGTCTGATATAACCTGTATTATTCTTTGTTGATCTCAACAGCAACCAGTTACATTTTATAGTAAATGAGTTCTAACACCTGACATAGACAAACAGTGTTGTATGGGAATTATTATTTGAATTTCAGCGTCCACTAGAAGTTTGTACAAACGTAAGCTTACTCAAATACTGGAAGGCTTCCTTGTTGCTGATAAGCAAACACCATCGCAGCAAAATGATGTTGGAGAAGGGTTGACTCAGCCTAAGCAAGTGAATGAAAAACCCTCATTCCGTCATGACAGTAAATCAGGAGACACCAGAGTAAGAACAAGTCCATCATACAGTCATGGTGATGAGCGTTTAGAAAAATCAAGCTCATCTCTGTCTAACACACATACATTTCAAAGAGCAGAAAGGAGATATGATGGGGTGAGTCCACAATCCCCAAGGAGCAGTTCATATCTCAATACAGTGAGAGGTTTAAAGAATAATGACATTGATAAGCCAAGTCCATCTTGGATGTCAGTAGATTCGGCACTTGCACAACCAGCAACTTCATCTCCGTGGAAGACATATGGATCTTCCAAAGATGATCCCCATAGAAAACCGGATTTCGGAATACCACGGCGTACTACATTTTCACAAGAAACTGAAGAAAGTCCAGGATATTCCGCAAGACAGAGGTGGTCTTCTTCAGGTATGTTGGCGTCTAACGAAAAAGTGTTGTTTTTTTTGTTGTTTTTTTTTGTTAAGTCTTATTTACTGCATAATTTTATAGGTTAAACGTGAGTATGTAATTCATATTTGAAATGTTGGTTTGGTATTGATGTTTTTGATTTTTGATAGATGCCTCTCCAGCTGCTCGGCAAGAGATGGCTTCTCGGTACAGATTTCCGGGATATTCGGACGGAAAATCTTCTGTGTTGAACAGGTTAGGCATTTCCTTGTCATTGTGTCATGCTGGAAATTTCCTGAGTGTGCACGAGATATGTTTTCTGATTCTGCCATCTGAACTTTGGTTAATTTGTATCATGGCATGCAAACGATACATTCTTGTGTAATTTACTCTGACGAATGGGAATGTTTCTCCTGAAATGTGTGACTTAAGAAAACTATTTTTAATTTCATCAGATAGCACGAAGAAGTTGGTTATGTTGCCACATACTGTACTTTGATAAAGATATGTTTTAAGGAAACTACAACAATTACAAAAATTTTCAGTATATCAGCAGCCACTGGAGTATGAATTAACTGTTGAATTCTGTATACATTTTCAGGTATAATCCAGAAAGGCAGAGAAAACAGTCTCGCAGTTTGACAGTGCGAGTTACTTTATTCATAACCCTAGTCTTAGCTGCCGTTGCGCTAGCTTACATGTTATACAGAGTAAGTAATAAGTAGTTTGTAATTTATTTTTTTTCAAGTGTGAACATTTCCGTTTATGAGTTTAAGAATCTAATACCAGTCTGTATTTTGGTATTCTGTCAGTGGGGTATTAAAATTTCACATGACACCTTGAAAACTTTAATTTGTTCTTTCCTTATCCTTTATGTGATAGTACCCATTAAGAGCAAGTCTCCATAATAATTTAAAAATGGCACAGTAAAGTGTCAAAAGAAATTATAAACACCATGGCCTCTTATAAATTATTTAATTAAAAGATGGCTGTTTTCTAGTTTGCGGCAATAACATTTCAGACGTCCTTGCTTCCTCTATCATCTGGGCGCCCTAATGATGGAGGCAGCAAGTTCTTCCGAAACAGTAGCACTTCTACAAGCGCTACAACCTAAAAGACAGCCATCTTCACATTTGGTACTGTGAGAATCTCAAATCGTCATTATTCAATTTTTTTTCAGGCATGGTATGAAAATGATCCTTACCAACAGATAGAACAGGATGTGATGAAAATCATTGAAGGTAGCAAATCGAAGGACAGTCGGAAATAGAATGCGGCTAAGCATCCAACTTCATATCAGATATCTGAACACATGAACACATGTGTGAGACTGTATTCTGTAAATTGATTATTGAAGAAGAGGGAGATTATGTTCTGTAGTTGAAACAAAACGTGCTAATAAAAAATTCATTCTCTTTCTTACATGTAATAAAACTAATGGGAGACAGGAAATATGCAATAGAAAGTGAAATTTCCGTGCTCACTGCACGGTGTTAAAATTTTGTTGAGGTCGGTGACCGTATTAACCAGTTCTCAAATTTACCCGATAGAATTCAAGAACTGTCGAGAATATAAATCTTAAAACTATACCATATTGTTTAGAGTGCCTTTAAGTCAATTATTGTTTAATATTAAATATAAGTAATCCGTTATTAATTTAAAAGATCCGAAGAATGTTACTGAATTGCAGTTTTTTGTGTTGCTATGTACATTTTATGGTGGAGTGATATGCAAAAATTGAGGATGAATTTAATGTGCGCTTCTCAGTTTAGATGATGTGTGAAAATATTTGGGCACTTTCAGTTAAGTCAGTTGCATCGTCTTCAATACGTTGCTAAATTTTCTGTCAACATGCTTATATTTTACGATGATGTATATGTGATCATTACATTTCATTTCTGAGACGAAATCAACAAATCTTGTTTCTTATTCACTGTTTTGTTTCAAGAGGAAAACTCCACAGCTCAGCAGTTAATTGAATATTATTTACAATATATTGTAGGTGCGTCATATTGTGATTTATTTAAATAGTATTAAAAATATATTAAAATTGGCCGTCAATCACAATATAAGATCCTTAAAAGATTAAAATATCATTTTTCGTTCCGTATCGAGTACTCGATTTACATATGGACAATTTTAATACTATTTGAATATTATTTGCTTGATTCTTTTGATGGTAGCTTCTAGGTGTTCTTCATGCTCTGCCATGAGCGAAGAATATAGTATTCCTCATCACATTAGTACAAGAATGATGTAAGGCCATTGGAAAAGACGAAGAGTCGTTAGAACTCGGTTTTCCTCTTGACAGAAACTGGTGCCTGGTATGGAACAGAATGAGTTGAAAACGCGCACTGGACTCGTAAATTTATTGTTACTGAGCTATTCATGGTTCTTAACATACATTTTAAAACATGTGACATACATATCCAAGTTTTTAAGTTTGAATTTGCATTGAAACTATAAATCATATACAGAAGAATTCATTTCTTGCATCTGCTGTAGTTTTTATTTGGAATGTTTCCTCTTCTCTTGCATTTTGGCAGCTTTCTTCTTCATAATCTGTAACCGTTTATCTGCGCTTATAATATTAATGTTGGGCATTACGCACTTCTGAGAGTTAGCAGGAACAGCAGTAAGTTTTGAACTGGTGCTTCCTGTTTTTGAAGCAGGCAAAGGCAGGCCTGTAATAGAACGAGATGCTCGTTACATTCATAACCAAAACCATCACATTTCTTTGAACTAGAAATAACATGTTAAATTGTTGATATGTTAGTTATTTAATGATGTTATTAACATTAATGGTACAGGAGCAATGTGAAGAAAATGCTTAAAACCTGCCCTAGCACGGTTCTGCCTTTAGTACTGATAATTCCTTTTTGACTTTGTCCGTCATCCTGTATTCTACAGATGGGTCCACTAGAGACGTCTAATCCTAGTCATTGTACACCAAAATTCAATGAATACGACCACATATTCCATTACGTCCAGACATCATCTCCAAGAAATAAAAACAGAGATGAAGATGGAGGCAGTATGTACCTACAAATCCACATAACATTACAAACTAGAAGACCAACATCTTCACAGCCATAGAAACTTCATCTTTCATTCGAAAACTTCTGTTCACACAACTTACGTCCACATGGCATTAACCCTTTAACGACACGCCACGGGCAACCTTGCCTCTTAAGTGGCTCATCCACATACGAGTCTGGCTCGGCGAGCTTGACTTGTGAGCCGGGCTCGGATATATTTCACCACACATGCATAGCAGACTCGGTTCGTGACACCCCACCCACAAACAAGTTTGGCTCAATGAAACCCGAGCCGAGCCGGACTCGCAAGCCAGACTCGTACATGGATGGGCCGCTTTAGAGTCAAAGTTCCTACAGTTCTGTGTAGAATTCTTGTTACACAAAAATAATTTGCACTCTACTCCATTCAGCCTCCGAGATCACATTCCTTCTTCCCGCGGCAGGCTACTCATCTTTCTGCTTTATGGCTATATTACTCTAAAATTAATTTCTGGCACAAGGATAAAATATACCGCAAAGTTTAAGTGAAATTCCTACCCCCAAATGTTTTTGTTGCAGTACTAAAGTTAGGAGATGAGCTGGATTTTGTTGTGACTGCTGCGAACGCGGGCTTCCCGGTGGAACCGCTGGTAGAGGCACTGTACGTAGACTGCGCTGCAGCTGCTAGGCTTGTGGATGCGGCTGCTTGTTTCCCGGCACTGTTATTTCCAGTACTCTGCTAAAATATTAAGTACGTTTAAGCAATACTTCTTCACATCTGCTTAGGCATGTGAAAGTGAGGTCAGCGGTCGGCTTTGACTCACATAGGGCTGTTACGCCACGGATTATTATTCAGCAATATTTGTAGATAGCTTGAGGAAATCATGATGTGTAGCTTGCAATTACATTCACCATGAACAGGCTTTGAAGAATTTATGAATGAACATAATTTTGCAACTTCAAATTGCTCGTTAGAGTGACACTACTTTTATATACGAATGCAGAATCCATGAGAAGCCAACATATTGATCTAGCCGATGTATGTGCTTATTTGGGGGGGGGGGGAAGTTGTAGTAAGAATCTAGATTTTATCTCGCCGGAATGTTCCTTATGATATGTGCAAGGACGGATTTGACGGGTTGCATCCGATGACACAAGCACACCATCGCAACATTTTATAAAAGATTCTGATTTATTCAGAATTGTTTTCGAAACGATTATTACATCTGGATGCCTCGGAAGTCGCCCGTGTATATACATCTCTTGGTATCGAGTGTTAAATTCTTTTAGTACTGCGTCAGTATAACATCTACAACCAAAACTCCACCAACGAAAGAATGTTGTACAGACGCGCATGCATCTCACCATTTTACCCATGGCTTTGGTGCAGTCTGAACAATACCATGCTGAACGTGGATCATTCATATCTGTCTCGGCCACGGGTGGTTGATGGCATTCTTGGTGATACAGGGCGTGGCATTCAATACACTCCACTAGCTGATTGCGTGCAACAACGTCCATTCCCCTATGCAAATAAATAACATACCATGTAACATTTACCAGGGAGACAGCAAATTCCTTAACTCGTTGCATTCCAGACAACAAGAAGGAAGAATCATGACAATTTTCAAGAAACCCTAGTCTGTCGTCAGGGTGATAAATCTGATCACACTGATGATGGAGGCAGCAAGCACCTCTGAAATGTTGGTAAACTTCTACCAGACTAAACGACGCAACATTTTAAGACAGCAATCTTCATATTTTCTTCTTACCTACAAACAACACATGTCAAGTCTTCTTCCAAAATTTCAAGTGGAATGCCATCATCATCGCCATCATCTTCATCTTGCTGAAGGATGTCATCTTTAATTGGCTCTGCTTCATGTATATTACTCAGCGTAATGGTGTGTGACGATGGTGAGGGAGATGAACTGCCACTATGCAGAGTTTTGGAATGTCCAGGTTTAGGAATGTCGTTGGTCTTTGACCGTTTGCTGCTACTTGGCTCACGGTTTGACTCTGAACTTTCTTCAATGCTCAGCTAAAACAATTGATTAGCGATACATGGCCATGGCAATCTGTATTATAATACATCTTGAAGATAAAAGTATATAAATAGTGATCATTTCTAGTATTCACTCAAAAGCACTCATGTCCTCCTTGTAATGGAAAATTGGAATTATGGTTAACATATTTCAGCACATGAATGTTGTATTTCATATCAACTACATAATACTAATATGGAATATTTTAACTTTTTTTACCTTGTCAAAGTTCTTCTTTTCTACATCTTTCCTTGCACTTGACGAACCTGAAGGCTTAGAACTTTCTCTCTTGCTTAAGCTCTCCTATAATGAAATATATCATTCAAATCTGTCCAGTTGTTCTCAAGTTGACAAATAGATGGAAGATAAACAGACAAGACCACAGCAACTCAATAAATATGGTATTTTGTTAATTATAAGTGTATGAATACATGAATTCACCAGTTCACCTTTTTGATTAAAATATTAGCAAGTGTCTTACTGCTACCATGACGCTGCTTGATTGCTTCATCAAGCATGGCTCGTAAGTGATCTTCAGAATCCTTTGATTTAGAATGCATCAATCTCAGGGCACGAGCAAATGTCGGGTCCAAATCAATGGAGGCCATTTTGACAGTTCCTAAAATAAAGTACAACTGGACTATAACAGAAAATTAATCATATCTATACAACTATTAATTTCAACAATTAAATTCTGATTAAAGCTATATTTGTGTCTGACCAGAAATTACCAAAGCCAACTACATTAGTGTAGGATGGTTTGAGGAGTTACCACAGTACAACAAACATGCTTTGTACAAATTCCTTTTTGCTGTTATTTGAAGGGGGGGGGGGGGTTTCAGTGAAAAATTAAATATGAATACAGTTGGGGGTTAGGTATGGCTTGTTAGGATTAAATAGGTGTTCCACATATTTTAAACCATCTCTGCCTGCCAATCACAAATTAAGGTAATGAGGGGGCATTGATGAATTAGGGATACAAAGCAATAGTTAATGCAGTGACGTACTGCATGAACTCAATAATCGATATAAAATCCTCAAATCGACTACGACATAGTTACAATTTTTGTATTTGTTTTCAATAATTACGCATCTTAGGTTCGAGGCTTTACCTACTGCACATGAATCTGAAATAAACTATCAGTTACTGCTTACCCTAATTATCACACACAATTATGTTTTATTTTTCTATAATTTCTGTTCAACCGAACCAGTCACAGTTTAAATCAACATGTTGGTTATGCTGTCCGAGAAAATCGTAAATTTTGTTCCTACCACACTATATCGGTATAAACTGTTCTCTCAGGTTACTGGTACTGAAACAAAAGAACACGGAAATATACTTCTGACTCCTTGCGGATGAAGGAAGAATTAAAGGCAGCCATATTGAAGCTGTGGGTTGTGGTGTATGTAAGTAGGGATATCTGTGAATTTGAACGTAGTGATTTCATTAATTATGAAGATAGATAGTGTATGATATGAAAATGATGAAGGATTTGAAGTTATACTAGAGTATTAATATTTTTAAAAGTATGTCTGAGTTTGTGTTGGTGCTCTGTAAAGTGACCACTTGTTGCAAGAAGAAATAATTGTATTGCTATTTATGCCCTCTATATGAGCAATTAACACAAATAGGTAATGTGACAACTTGGTATTTTCAATGCATTATATTATATTGTAAATACACACAACCACAAGTTGACATTATTTCAGCTGAAGTGATAAATCTTGACAGGATATAACTGATATCAGTTCAGAACACAAGTAGGTGTGTTTGCGAGGTGCTTGACGTTACGAAATGAAAAAGTTTAATTTGAGGAAGACTGCGAAGTGAAGTTCAAGAACAGGGTCTGTGAATCTTTAGGTTTCAGCAAGGTATACAGAATGGCAGCAACATTTGATCCATTTGACAAATCAAGGTAAAGTATATGAAAGAGTTCTAATGTGGTCTGTAGTAGAGTAAGTGGTGCAGTTGAGAATAGAAAATGTTTTGTTCGTGTACAAACATGCACACGCAAAAATTTATGAAAGTTGGAGGATAATATTAAGATGGACTTTATGGAAATATAGAATATGTTTTAGTCCATTTTATTCCAGTCCTTTGGGGGGCTTTCTAGTGGTTATTCTAAACCAGAGTTGAAAAGCATCTTGTTTTAGACCATTCTGAATAGAATATGTATCAGACAAATGTTTACTTGTATGTATCTTACTATAGCTTTTATGTATATCCACTTTAATTATCATCCCAAATTTTATAAATTTATAGAATTTGGTAAGAATGTTGTCTATTACATATTGCCTAGTCTTAGTAAAGTGTATAAATAGCTTATGTATTGTCCAATTATACTAACACTTTTCTTAAGCATATGTCCAGACATAGGATTCATGATCAGTCCAAATTCACACTGAAGATTCCCAACTGACAGGTTATCTCAGGTTTATCCCAGGTCTGTCATACACATAGTTGGTCATAATATTAATGTTAAATAAATTTAGTAGTTGAAGCAATTCTAATAAATAACAAGTGATTTGTAGGGTTGTATTATATTTATTCAGTTGTGTGTTATTTTTGTCTTTCTGATCTTGCATAATTATCATTTATTTTGACTTCTTATGTCTGGTTTTTTATATCGTAAACTTCTGATGATGACCTTGCATAGAATTATGTGTAATTGTGAAATACAATAGTATAAAAATGTAAATGCCCACAAAGAACTCCGTAGAGCTGCTACCACCATACCTAGACCTGTGTCCACTTTTTAGTCACTATAAATCCATGCAACAACCAAGTGAAATGAAAAGGCCACTGGCAGAATGTGGCAAATGTACCCTTAAGGAAAAGCCAGCTACGAACTGATTATAGAGCAAAAAACATAAATTCAGATCTTATTAATCTTTGTAAATTTCAGTCGTTTTGAAAACATTAAACCAATGTTGAGAGAAAAAGTCAACTCTTTGAACTTTTTTGGCTTCACAGGAACATCCTATTGCAATTCTGGCAGAGTAATTTGATCTCTTAGAATGTTTTAGAGTCTGTAAGAACTGTTTTTATAACTCGTAATCATATTTTTTTGTAAGTAAGGAAAGCTTTCATAAAATAAATATATATTTCTGCAAATCACACCACAAATCCAGTTGTCATAAACCTAATCTAATATGGTTATCTTGGCTAACCAGATTCAGTATTTCTCTCAATAAAATAACAATAATAATAGCAGTAATTGACTGGTAAGTATTTTTATCCTATTTAGGTAATTGTTATTGGAATATTGGCTAACAGTTGTATGAGGGATTAGTAAAACATATCTTATATAATAGTATTATTGAATTTCCACAATAGAATACACTATGAATTGGAATAATTAAATAATTAAGTATGCTTTGCAGAGTGTGTGTCTATATCTAACATTACCACAAAACAAATTAGCAGATATTATTAGTGAATTGACTTAATTCTATATATTAATTATTGTATATATCATAGTTTCCTTATTCACACTTTTCTGGTAGTATTTACTGAAATACACAGCATGTTTATATCATAGTAAAATATCATCATAAAACCAAGGAAATGGCATGTTTATATCATAATAAAATATCATCATAGAGCCAAGGAAATTTCTTTTCCCCCTCTTAGTTTGAGTTAAACATAGACTTTTTTATGTTTTTACCGTGTGTTTATTATATGGGTTATTCTAACTATGCATAAGATTGATAAATGCATTTATTGTAAATATTATTTTTTACTAAGAAGCATTTGTCTGTATTAATTTTTTATACATCAGATATTATTTTAAAACTTTCCAATACTGAGGGAAGTTAATTTTTATTAGTGTTATTTTTTCAACCATCTCCTGTGTCATCACTCTGTAGAGGACGAAGTGTTGCTATAGTTAGTACCAATACGGAGTTCCAGAAATAACTGAGGTAGGGGGTGAGTCATATGAAGTTGAGTAAAACCAGGACTGTGGAATGTTGGAGACCTGGCAAATACATGCATAGTGCAGCAGCTGATACCCAGATACTTCATTACAGCCAAAAACATAGAATTTTCTTGAGAGAATTTAATGTCATACCATTTCCATCTCTGTCGTAACTGTTAACTGACCGTGTTTAAGCTGCACTAATAAGAATTTGTGTCAGCTGTACTTAGTTTTGAAGTACTTTCATAGATTTAAGTGTATCTAAAATCTATTCTATGAATAAAGGAAGACATTTCTGTATTCTCTATCTTTTATGATTAGTCATGCAGTTGAAGAGGAACTAATATATGCAGGGTATTTTAATTTGTTCCCAGAAATTTACAAGCAGGAAATGCATTAGTTTCTTTATCTGGACATATGTTTATTTCCTCATTGTATTCTTTTTGTTCAATTTGTAAAATTGTATATAGCATTTTTTCTATCATTGAAACCGAACAGAAAGGCTGTATTTAATATTAAGTGTAGAGGGCTTAGTTATTAAAATACTTTATATCTCATCCTAAGAACTTCTGTAATATTAACAACCAATTAGAAGACTTCATAGAACAGAATTTATTTACATTCCATAGAACCTTCATAGACCCAAGCCAAGGATATAGAAAATGTCATAGCACAAATATAATACTTGTTTATAACACAAATTTAAATTACAGTCATGACAGTAATTTATAGTCAGCTACAGTATGGTAGCATGAAATGCCATTGAATGTATGAATGAATTGGGGGGGGGGGGGGGTTAAATAGTGTTTTTTAACACCTCTGTTAGATGCGAGGTGAAAATCAACTTTTGGGTGTTTAAGTGCTGTTTGAGAATAATCTTATAAGCCAGGGTTACCAGCATTATGTTTTGTGTAACCCACATTTATTGTGATATTGTGTCAGTCTGCGTAATGAAAAATGGTTACCTGTTATCAGAAAGTGTGCTTTGTTAATGTTGTCAGTATTTTGCAGTACATAACAGCAGCTCTTTGGCTGAAGATCACGAAGTAAATGACCGGATTCATTCTGCAGATGAACGCTTAGAAAGATACATCTGATCACCAGTGACAGAAATTGAACCTGGTATTGAAACATTACTTACAAAAAAAGCTGTATCAGATGTCTCGCTAATGACTAATTCTGTCATAGAAAATTTTTGAGTAATGTGTGAACATGTTTGTAATAGTTGATTGCGTTTATAATAAATTGTCCTCATTTATAACCCTGTGGCCTTTTGAGTCGGTAAGTAAAGGTGAATGCAGCCGTAGGTCTGGAAAAGGTTGAGGATTTGTGTTGTAATAGGGCCAAAATATCTTCTGGCTGCGGGCTGGACGGCTGCTACCCCGAGAGTCGGTTTTCGGGATACCAGTTCTCCTTTGTATCATTACCACGGTGGTGAAGCACACATGAATGCAAATCTGATCGTTCGTGTCCATCTGCAACTGAGGCAAAGAGCTTTACCTGCACAATATGCATGATACTTTAATTGGGAAGTAGTTTTAACTTTTTTATATCCTTTTACAAAAACTAATTAGCATTTTACATATAATGTTTCAGCCCTTTGTCAGGAGGGTGCATGGTTCTGATATAATGTAATTATTTCACAGGGAGGATAGCAAAGTGAGCCATTACATAATTAACAAAATCCAGCAAGGCGAACAGACGAGATATCGAATTGGGGACCAGATGTTTCCGGATCTTCCTCAGTGTCTAGCATTTTACAAATTGCATTACCTTGATACCACACCTCTAATCAGACCAGCACCACGAAGGGTTGAGAAGGTCATGGGCAAATATGATTTTGAAGGAAGTGTAAGTTTCAGTAGTGCACGGTAAATTTTTTCATCTCTGGTAAGATTTTTACATGGTCTGGTGACCTATTGGGATGTTCACTGTAAGCATGACTATAAACATTTAAAATATGGAGCAATTTTTAATTCAGCAACCAGAATTTTAGAAATTTGCCTCATTCCCAGTATACAACTATAAATTTTATTGTCTTGTGATTACAGTCTCTTTCTATCTTCTTTGCATTCTTTTATAAGCAATTTTTTTACAAATTATTATTTCTTATATAATGAAAGAAATTATTGTGTAAGTGGTTGGAAAAGAACACAGAGAACAGATGGTGTACGACTATGCGTATCGAATTTATCTGGCTCACGACAGGGGGGCCAGTGATGGGAAATTTCATGTGTAACTAGGCTGATATTTAATGACTGCAAGCTTTTACTCCATAAAAATAAAAAAAAATTACCCATTTCATGTGTTTTTGTTTTTGACCGTCCTATTACTTTCAAATTCTATGTAAAGGATCAAGACGACCTACCTTTCAAGAAGGGCGAAGTATTGACAGTGTTGTCCAAAGACGAGGAGCAGTGGTGGACAGCAAGAAATAGCCTTGGTCAGACTGGCTCTATTCCTGTGCCATATATACAGAAGGTAGGAAAATTATAGCAGTTCTAAAGTCCATAATTAAGGTGCATTTTTAGTTACTAATAGAATTGCTTTCAGTTTCGTAATGTTGTGATGTCACAAAAGCTGTATGCCGATACCAGTACGTGAATATCATCAACTGTTGGATATTTTTCTGTAATAATCGACGCGCCGTGTGGTAGTGTGAGTTTTGGTGGTATCATTAGCAGTAGTATTTGTGGCAGTGGAAGTGGTGAGTGGTAAGTTCACGTGTGCTCTTTTTCAGTATGAGGATAATCAACAGTGTCTGAGTGATAGTCACCGACCAGGGTCAGGCGGTGGTACGGTTAGTCATCAACAGGAAGCTGCGATACGTAGGACCAATATTCAGGTATTTTATCTAGCGATCATCAATATTGTAATATTGTGGGTTTGTGATTTTGGTTTCTTTGTGTACGTATGTCTCAGATAACATTTGCAGCTGTGCTTCAAATTGGTTCACGAAGTTACTCCATGGTACAAATTCCTCCTCGAGGAGATCATAGTCACTTTCCTAGTCAAGAAATTCCATCTCTTGGATTTTATATGAAGCATTTGAAAAATATTTAAGTCAAAATTTAGAGATGTTAATGAGTGTATTTCTTAGGTATAATTGCATTTTGAGGAAACAGCTGTCATTCTAGCGGTAGAATCATAAATTGTGTGTTGCGCAATGGCAAATATAATAAGATTTCCGTTTTCTGGGTTGTTGCGCAACAACCCAGAAAACGGAAATCTTCATACTCACCGCTGTGAGAACCTCAAGTCTTACGCAAATATAATAGCTAAAACTAAAGAAATTACACATAATGTAAAGTTTTAAGTTCAGACAGTTGAGAGTTTGCTATCTGTTTAAGAAAATATGTGATGCGTGTTGAAATTTTAAGGTTTAAGTAGTTCAGCTCTGCGTGTCACACTAGCGTATCGCAGAGATAAAGTTTGTCTGTCATGTACGAAGAATGATGTTCTAAACCCCTACTGCCAGACAATAAATGCTTATTACCTTTTTAAAGTCGAGCGGTACCAGCTGCTTAAATAGTGTCAGGCATTTGATCTTTGTAATGGTGAAATGTGGTGTTTTCTTTATGGTACACCACTCGAATTCCTAAATAATTTGTACGTGAGTTTTGGCGTCAAAGGGTTAAATAGACTGTTGCATTATAGCTCACTTGTAATATAATTGTTGTTTTTTTTTTTCTGAATTGTTAGAGGAAGCTGCCAGCTTACGCACGAGTTAAACAAGCACGTGTACCAAACGCGTATGACAAGACAGCATTGAAGTTGGAAGTAGGTGACATCATCAAGGTGACAAAGATGAATATCAATGGGCAGTGGGAGGGGGAACTTAATGGTAAGGTGGGTCATTTTCCTTTCACACACGTTGAATTTGTTGACTCCGAAAACAACGATGGGGCCGACGAGAGCTAAAACCCGCGTGATGTTTAGTCCTTCGTTCAGCCGTAGCTGAAGCTAAGAGTTCCGGCTAACTTTTGGTGCGTAGCAAATCACAGACGCACGTGTATCAACCCAGATGATTTATCAGATTTATAAGAATTTGCTACAGGTTGTAAATTATTTTATTTAGCTTAAATATGTTTATCTTTCAAATGAAATAACAGTACTTTTCTCAGGAAGAATCAGAAGTAAATGTTTAATCTGATATCTGTGGTTTTTGCGCTAGGAACGTTATGAAATTTTTGTGTAAGAGTGATTGCTAAGCATCAGATATAAAACAAGGATTATGTTGCGTTTGCTCTGAAAGCTTTAGGAGTAATGAAATTAATGAATATAGCTGCGATTCCCTACTACCATCAACCATAGTTCTGTCGACATTTGAACTTTGAGATGGATAATTATATTGGTTAAAATTGTATATAAAAGGAAAAAGTGAACTGTAATAGAGAATCGGGTAAGAACAATGGATTGTCACTTTCCAGAGTGATCCATGGCATGTTACGGAAGACGTAGCGCTATAATACTATGGGAAAGGTGCAATCCAAAATAATCATAACAATATTGAAGTGAAGATTTCCGTCTTCTGGGTCCTTGCGCCGTGTAGTCTCGTAGATGTTTACAGATGCCCTGATGACAGAGGCAGGAAGGACCTCTGAAACGTCGGTAAACATCTGCCAGACTACACGGCGCAACGACCCAGAAGACGGCAGTCTTCAGACTCGCCGTCGTAAAAATCTTGAATCCTAAAATATTGAAAGTAATAAAATATAATATGTCTATACCATACATAGTATATGGACTGACTTCCTAGCGTGCTTCTGAAATTATTTCGCAAAATGCTAGTAAGTGACCGAAAGAATGAATTATAAGTAATTTTGTTTGTATCACTTGGACGCTCGTTGAGTACGGTAATGAATTGCGTAACTCATATCACTGCTCAATTTGATCCACATGAATTTTATAAGCAGGATTTGGTGACTGCGTTCATAGGAATATGAGAGACTGCCATTATCAGCGTTATATAGGAAAAGGGCCAATTGATATTCATCCTGTTTTACGTGTGAGTGAATTTCTGATTATACTATCATTAGACTGAGGGTTTATAATGTTTATTACTTATGAAGTTATTACATTGTGGTCACGTATAAGCACCAGATGTTACAGAATCCATATAAATGACAGTCAATTGGGAAATTAAAAGGATAGTATAGGTTGGGTACTTAATCATCATTCGGAAAGTAGTTACTTTAATTATCTAGTAGATGCTCTGTCGTGTGTTTTGTGTAAAGGTTCATTTCAGAAATGCTTGTTGAAGTTAAATCAAACTTACGTGTCTGCGTAACCTTAGCTTTCAGGTGTGAGCTGCGTGCAATGTTGTGTATTGGCCAGTGTTTCAGCCGTTACATTTTGGCATTCATCCTGAAGATGCCAGCTGCAGAGATTGTTGAAACGTCAGTCAGTACACAACATTCCACGCGGTTCACACCTGAAAGCCGTAGTTACACGCTGAACTCCAATCATAAAACCTACTTTCACGTAATTGAAATATGAAAGGGTGAGTAATTTATATAAAACAGCACCTCTTCTTCTTCTATGGCTCTCCGGTCTGTATTTGGTCCATGGCCTCCTCAATTCTCCTCTACCATTCGGTCCTCTGTTAGGTCCATCTGTCCGAGGCTTTGATCGAGGTTTCGAAACATTTCCCTTTTACGGTGCAAGGTTGTTAGCCTTGCGACCAACCCACAACCTGGAAGACCAGGGTACCTGTCTTGGTCTGACCTCTCCCCCTCGACCAATCTGGCTAGGGAGGCCCTACCAGTAGCTGTGCTATCGCCACGACAAGGTGCAGGTACCATTAAGTACATGTAGCTATTCATAATTACTGTCCCATCTCAGTCACTACCTCCTACGTAAAATGTAGTTAACAAAGTGTTGTTAAATAATCTAAAAAGCCGTCAGTCAGTGAGAACTCTGTGAATGTAGAATATCAGTTTCTTTATGTTATCTTAAAGTTTCATAGTTGGGAAGTGTTCCAGAATGTGAAACATAAATTTAGCATTACTATAGATACTATAGATGTTGGTGTTTGATGTTTGTAGTAAAAATCCAGAATTATAAGTCCAGACTTCTTTTCATAAACAATATTTCTGCCATCTGTTCTTTCTACTCAGAATTTCCCACAGGTCTCTTAAGGTCACAGTCATCATAAACTTCTTGTTGACGTCAGCCATCTTGTTTTGGTCCTTCAGTTATGCATGCAGGAGTAAACATTCAGCACAAATAAACACCAGAATTGTGTATAATTTTTTTTTTTGCCTGACAGGATGCTTTCTTCTTGCAAGATCTATAATAATCCGCTAACAGCTCCAGAGAGCCAAAGCCGACTAGCTGGCTGCTGACCTCACATTCACATGCCTAAGCAGAGGTGAACAATCATCCAACCAGATATAGGATGACGTGTGGTCGGCACGACGAACCCCCAGCCATTGCTAGTTTTCATTACCGGATTGCGCTACCCATTGTAGCTCCCCAATTTCCTTACGATGCTGGGTTGGCACCGGTCGAAAATCTCGTGAGAAATTTCTTTCCCCGAGACTCAAGCCAGCGTACATTCTGTATGACCGGTCTGAAGCATGTTGCCTCAGACTGCGCGGCTACGGCACGGGACCTTGGAAGATCTACCTCCTTCATGTACACACACGCAGTAGGGTCTTCACACTTGTTACTCCACACGCACTTCATCTGCCTCCCCACTTAGCGCTAAATTAGCAATTGTGAAGTGACATATTCATAATCACTATAGTAAGCTCATTTTTCCAATTGTGAATTTACTGCAAGATTTCTCCTGTTTTCTGTCAATTGACCGTCGTCACTTCTGAATACATCCGCATTATCGCGTCTTGTAAATATGCAGATTTACATTTTTTGTCATCTAATTTTGATAGTATAAAAGTTTCTAAAGACAGGTGAGAAACGAATTCGCACATACCAGAGCGAAGGCCTACTCGTTAAGATCGCCGTAATTTGCGAATTGTGATTAAGTACTCAAAATGAATTTAACAGATTACAAGGTTATGTTATATTTGTTGATTTTTTGAAGCCTAACATTGTTACTGTGTAACGGTTACATAATGGAGAAACACGCTTTAATGCATCCCATTTATCTAGAATGTAAGTAAGCGGTACTGCCTAGTTTATGAATCAGTCATCATCTGTGGTTGTGTCCGTTGGAATTACGGAACCTGGATCATTTAATTACGCGTATATTTGAAATAGAGTGTATTAATATAAATGGAAACAGACTATTTATTTTATGTAAATCCTCAGTCTATCAGCATTTTGACTGAAATATTGACATGGAGTAATAATTATTCATTAGCCTTGCTGATCGGATCTCAAGTTATATGTGTGGTATTACAGTGGACTTTTACCACGTGGACTGTCGGAAGTATAAGGCAGTGAGAAAGGAAGAAATCAAGCGACACTAATCGCTTCCTTGAATTTGTTTCTGTAGATCTTCTAATTCCTCCTTTCTCCCTCATAGTTGCAGCTGAATGATTTTCTATTCTGGAAAGCTCAAACAAATAAAATGGTCTGCATTTACATGTAGTGGTATTTATTGAAAGTATAAAGTAAGCAAAGACTACACACAGTATCTGCATTGTATGTTGTGTTATTTATTTCCCTGTCTACTTGAGGTTTTCCTTTACTTTCCATAAAACAAAACCTTCACAAAGAAAATGTTCAGAGAACTGAATATTTCGGTTCTAGCTCTGCATAGTCTGATGATTGAGGCTCAAAGATCTTCAAAATGTTGGTAAACTTTTACCAGACTACACGGTTCTACATCCCAGAAGACAGCCATCTTTGTACTCGGTACCATCAGAACCTCAAATTCTTTGTATTGTCTTGAGTGTGTATAACTGTATCTTGCAAATGCCCATGATCCTCTTTATTGTATAAAGATCTTTGTAATGTAGCGGGCATTCTTATTTCAAGACTTTAAGAACTATAACTTTTATGACATGTTTGTTATGTATGAATGAAATAATTAGTTTAAGTTGACTCATTACAGCCTAACATTTGGCAGTATATGTTGTAGTAATAGTGATTAACTTACAGTTATGATTAATAACTGGTAATTATGTCTAATTTCTGTGTGGCAGTTTTGAATAAACAGAGGTTATATGTAATTCCCACATGCGATTTAAAGCGCAGACAAAGCAGCAAATGTAATGATTAGTCTGTGCTGATGACATTAAGGTATTAAAATGAAAATGTAATTGTCATGCTGGGAAACATTGAAACTGAAGATGGTCCAGATTTTAACCAGGATTTTTGTTATTGTGAAAAAAGAATGTTGACTGATGCCAGTTTTCAGTCATTTCATTGAATAGCATACATGTTTATTTGTAGGGGGAGTAGTACCAGAAGAAGATTGCTTTATATGAAACAGGCAAGACTGATTATATATAAGCAATGAAGATATTCCAACACTGACAATTTTTTTGACTTTCTCTTTTTAACATTCAGTAGTTCTTTGAAAGCAGAACACATTAGCTTTTTTAATTATCATATTTTTTCAGATGTTCCTGTATTCAACGTTTTAGAAAGACTATCATTTTCAGGATTAAATACGTACAATGCATGCGTTAGTTTTGGGGTGGGTTAAATTTTTTAGGTTATGACATACTTCAGATTATCCGCGGAACCGCGATGCTGCTGTCTTGCTTTTTCTTGTGGCGCTGTTCCATCTAGCGGCACAGCGGAGAACGATACGGAATTGGGAAGGACATGGTCCACTAAGTTGCATATAAGCGGAGTGACTAGCTGTGTTAAGCTTAGTAAGGCGTTGTGAATGCAAGGCTAAGTTTACGAAGCTGAGTGTATATAACCAGCTCTTGGGCATCTACGGGTCACAGCCATGAGTTCCGCAAAAGGTAACAATTAACTTATATTCATTTTAAACATAATCAATTCGTGTTCCAGTTTGACTGCTGAACGTAGTTTGCGCGAAATTCGAGGTTTCAATTCGTATTCCACTGAGTGAATCAAGCAACGAGTTGTCTACTAGACGTTTTACAACGTATACAAATATATGCTAATCGTAAGACTTGAGGTTCTCACAGCGGTGAATATGATAATCGCTTTTAATGTGATTAAAAGTAAAAATTAGTATTAATATTTATAAATTAATTGCTTAATTTCAAATATCTGCCATTCTGTGGTGCTGTAGGAATCTGAAACTATTTCGACAGACATTGCGTACTAGAGATTTTTGTGTAAACATAAAATATATGTTGATTTTAAAATTAGAAATCGTCTTCGGAAATTCTGAGAGTGTGTATAAAAATTTGTGATATCGGAATAAGAGGTTCGAATACGGGACCGTAAGGAATATGGCGCCGACAAGAAGAGGTGTATTGCTTAAAATATGCAGTTACCGTATTATTATCATTCCGTTCACCATTTTACTGGTATTTTGTTCTATGTACCTGAGACAAACCTTGCCCCTGAGGTACATAGTGCAGCAGATATATCTGAAATACATTTTGTTTTTAATACGTATTACATGCATTATACAGATTTCGCGAGAGGCATGACTACTGTGGTTATTGTAAATTGCACTCGTACATTCAGTTTACAATGTCACGAGTTGCTTCTATGGTATTAAAATATAGTCATTTCATGACCTAGGATTAATTAATAATGACGGTAATTATTACTACTGAATTTTTTTGTTTTAATACGTTATTCAGAATAATTAAAGTTGAAAATAATACCAAATAGGATTATGCAGAAACGCTGGAAATATTTAGAAGGGGTGAACAGAACCGAAAGGCAGAGAGGAGACGAAATTTTTAACTAGGTCTGGAAATATTTCTTTGCGCTGCTTTCCCCGGGGGCCGAAGCATGACTCAGACTGTCTATTGTCGAGGTCAGTGGGTAGGAACAACATCCCTCACCCGTCAAGTTCCGCCATGACGTGTTCTGCAGTGAGCCTTCCTTATTTCTTTTAACTTTTCGTTGCTTTCCTCGAAGTGGTGTGTGGTCTCAGGGTTCGAAAGTTTAAACAAAACGCTGTTAGGTTATGTTTGGTGTCATGGATGTGAATAGTGAAGTTTTCTTCTCTGATCAGCCTCGAGGGAGTAGTTTGTTGAACCCATTATTAATTGGTATAAAGATTTATGTCGAAAGACTACAAGAGACTTTTACTTTCTCTGCGATATGACTCAGTGGAACAACGAAAAGACCACACGACATGACCCAAATACCAGACCCCACTGCATTGTTACAGATAACTTGCTTCACACGTAGAAAAAATTACTTAACCAAGGCTGTTCAGAGCTGACCGAGAAATGTTTTTTACAAGATTAGAGTAGCATTGTTATTATTTCAAGAGATTGTTGAGAAGTCAGTCTCTGTTTTGCAATAATATATACATCCTTTCTACGACATGAACATTAATTTTATGATTATTAACGTCGTAGTGTTCATATTATGTGCAGACTCAACAATGAAAACGATGGAATGACAGGTAAGTGATTGTTATAACGTGTTTCTTTGTAGATCTTGTAGCAGAACGCAATGTGTGGTAGGAAGACTAGTTCGTGGTGCTAATGCAGCAGTCAGCAAAACCACAGGCTTCCTCTCCCACGTTTTCACAGCCTTCCTGGGAGCAGCTTAATCGTAGAAATGCAGTCTAAGCGGAATTCGTGTTTCTTTTTTTTTTCAATTATAATAAATGTTAATAAATTTAAAAATCGTTTTTGCACTATGAGAAATAGTGCAAAAAATTTAGAGATGTTTTCATTTCAATAAGCAGTCGCTGACATAAGATTCCCTGATCGTATTCTGTGTTCTGCAGTGTTGCCAACTGTTCGTCGCAAATTTTCTTTGTTTAATGAGGTCGTTTACTGGGGTCAATCTTTGAAAAGGACCGTAAATGCCCCACAGATTTCAAAATCGAGTCTAAGTGAGCTGAATAAGACAGAAAAGTCATTAACCATTTGATATTTGTAATGGTGAAGTGTAGTGTTTTCTTTTCGGTACGGACTGAATCTTTAAATATTATTTACGCGAGTTTCGACTTCAGTGGGTTACAGACGCTCTGTCTGCAGTTTCGATTCTAACTTGATAATGATTGTGACGTTTCAGCAATCCTTCGCCGTTATGGACGTCAGATTACTGTGGGCTTGGCGCGTGTTCTAATTCGTGGCCATTTCATGTTTCTGCTAGAAGCAGCACGTGAACGAGCTGACTTCTATACGTGTTGCAAAATAATTTCTTTCTGCTCGTTTGCTGGCTACAGAGACTGTTGATATTTGTTTCGCAAATCCGCGATTGCTGAAATCGCTCGAAATTATAATTCAGGGGCCGCCATCTTGTTTTGCCCTAAGTGGCGATGAAATCATCACCCCCCCTCCCCCCCCGGACTACTATCCCAGAAAACAAACTTTTATCTCTTTATTTTAAGCGAAGTCAAGGACGAGTTTTAGCTTGTTATTTGTCACGTATGAATTTATCTTCACGAAAAAATGATTACATGACGACACTTGAAGGTCGAATATCTGTAGGAATCATGCTGAAGATGCATTGGGAAAGGTCAAGGCCGCGTGACATGCTGGTTGTGATTTTTCTAATCCATGAATTTTTCTACTGTCACTGATTCAACAATTTCGCAGAATTTTCTGTTTGTCGTACGTACACTTACCGAAAGTTTTGTAATGAAGACGAACTTCGACTGGCCACTCGCCTTCATCTTGTTGCTGTGATGCTAAAATTAAGGGAGAGGTCTTTACCTGACCATGAATCCGCAGGTAAATAACCATTACCTGTTAACAGGAAGGTAGAAATTGGGTAAGAGACTGGAAGGAAGTCGGATATTCCGTTGAACGTGGCGTGTTTATTTTTTTAATTAATTTAATTACGTATGTGGGACGTCTGTATTCCACGTCATTCAACCAAATTTGTGAGAAAATATGCTTCATCACACTTCAGGTGTCCAAACGTACGTGAAACCTGTTTTCTAGGCGATGTACGTATTTGTTTAGCTCTGGGTTTCTCTTCTGAACTCCACGCCACAACTGGCCTATCGTCCGGTTGTTTAAGACACTGTAAGTACCATTATAGTATCTATTACAATAGGCATTACTTGTCATAGTGACTTTGCAGAATAATTTAAAACTAATGGGAGAAACACGGGACCTTGAGGTGGCCTGTCGCTGTAATGATTTATGAATAAATGTTTCAGTAAGTTCGAACAGTGCCATTGGCCGTTTTAATCAGTTCGTTTCAAGACTGAATATCGATTAATCAAATAATCGATTAAAACCTGTCGAAGTTCGATATCTCGAAATGTAAATGAAGTGTAGATGCGGTCAGCCGAAGTGCCCAATACCTGAAATCTTTTAATTGATTCACATTGTATTTTAATCGTTTAAAACTTAATGGTAACTATATGTACCACCTCCTTTAGCTATCATGAAGTCTTTTATTTTGTATTTATAGGTTTCGTAAGTTGCAGTAAACAAGGATTATTTCTTTAAACAGCGTCAACCAGTTGAGATTTCGTAATGGTGAAGAGATGTGTTTTCTTCGCGGTACGGGCTGAATTCTTAATTACGTGTATTTTAGAGCAGCTTAGGCATAAAGGCATCGAGGTCTCTCCGATCTGGGCAGCGCACTGCAGCGCTGTGATTGAGTGTGAACGGAACACCTGTTACGAAACATGAAAATGTTCTCTCTCTCTCTTTTTCTCTCTTTTGTTATTCGCTCCCGCCTCGAAAAACTGCAACGTAATGCCGCTTACAAAATTATATATGTTTTTGTATATTTATCACGTGACTGGCGTATTAAAGATAAGATTGCATATATCTTATGATGCAGAATAATTAACATTGCATATTTCAGCACCGTGATCATTACTTCACGTGTGTCGTCATTATTGTTAAAAAAAGTCAACCTTGAGTACGTATTTCAATGTCAATGAGCTTGCAAATCGACCGGATGGACTAGTAGTAGTGGCGACG